CTTTTTATATATTAAATTTCGTATAACCGAAGAAATAGGAAAGGGTCTCTCTATTACAATGTACAATACTGGTACGTGCAATGTTGCCAAATCGAACAGTATTTTGGTCCGCATTCAACATTCCGCTGTTCGACCGATAGAGGAACAGCACTGTGGATTGTTTGTCAATACCTTCGAGTTAGTTGATTTTTACTGGCTTTTATGTGTAAGGCAATCATTTTACGATGACACAAAAGACCAAAAAAGTATCCTGACTGTAAATGTGTCAGAGTGCTTAGTGTATCTGTATAGAGCATACTGATAATATTGTCAAGGAGAACGTCGTATATGTGTAATAATGCTACTTTTATATGCAAGTGAAGAATTCCATCTGTTTCATTAGAGAAAAGAATGTTTGGAACCCTAGCATTATAAAAAGTACCTAAGCTTTTCTAAATTAATCTTTTTTTAATCGTACGTTACCATGGATATTTAATACAAGTATCAATTTCATAAGTGTACAAATAAAACTTTATAATATAACAACAAAAAAGGACAGATAACCCTTGGTGCAAGAAAAGTTCCATAAATTGGCACTTTTAATCGGTAAGTACATAAAATAAACAATACTTTATATCAGTTTAAACAGAAATCTATTTAATTATGAATTTTTTTTAACAAATCGATTTAATTTTTTAAACAATATAATATATATGATAGTATGCACGCACGCGCGCCTATGTGTTAAGTAACAATAAATGTTACTATAAGGTTATTTATTATTTAAAATAGGATTAAGTATTATTACAAATACATTGTTAAGTTTTTATTAGAAAAACTGTCAAAAAATATTATTTATTATCATTTAATACAGAATTTGTACTTTGTTTTAGATACACTAAAAAATGTACATCAGAATGTCACAAGGAGATATAGGTGGTTTATATAGTAAAGATGAATACATCCGACAACTGTGTATCTTGTTTAGTTGATGCACAGAATATTTTCTTAGGCAATTGTCCATTTTCTTTATTGCATATCTTTATTCTTGCTCTTTCGGAGCATTCTCATTGTCATAAAGTACCCAGTGTTCATAAAATCACTTTTAATGAGGCTGAAAGCACGTATAAGAAGGTGAACTCTCTTTTGAGAAGGTACAGTGTTCTACAACTGACTTTCATGAACAATGAACCATTCGGGAAGTGGAAAACGTCAGGCGAAGGTTTTGGAAGAAAACTATTGGGACTGCAGTGTCTGCACATATAGGAATACAGCAGAAGCATTTAAGTGCCTCATGTGTGACGTCCGAAAAGGAACTTCTACGCGGAAACCCCGCATTAATCCCCAACTTGTGGCACAACAGGTTACAATAATACATAGTATTTCATTCCAATCTGTTTCCTGTATATTATAAATACAATAATGTATAATATTATAAGTTGAAGAATACAGTTACATTAATATTAATTTATGTGTAGGTTGCACAGCAACAATATGTACCACTTTTGAAGCCAGGAAAAAAAGAAGGTGGAAGTGGGGGTAGTACAACTAGTAGTGGTAAAGAAAAGGACCGTAAATTGGACAAACCAAGACGTAAAAATAGGTATCCACCCCGTCTTAAAAATATAGATCGTAGTACGGCTCAGACCAATGAAGTGACAGTAAATAATGTTACTGTTGTTATTACTGAATATAAGCCCAAAGTGAAAAAAAGTTCAGATCAGTCTGGTTTATCTAGCAGTGCTTCTTCTGAAAATGGAAGTCAGCATGATTCTAATCAAGACTCTAGAAGTCTAGATATAGGAACGGATGCTTAGCTCAATGCTATATCACATATGTGTATGAATTAATCTAATTAATATATTGTATAATGTATGTCAGTCTCTATGGACTATGGTCCATTATGTAGACAAAAACAACCACTTTGTCTATATGTTGCAGGTTACATAACATTCAATGAGGTCAGACGTTTTATGCTATCAGTGGAATCATTGAATTATGTTTTCAATATAATGTAAGAAATATGTATGCATTGTTGTTTCATACTGACATCAAAATTGTCTGTTTCATAACAGTAATCTTTACATCCAGAAACATCAACTGAAGTTAGTTGTACTTAATCTTATTTATTTGATAGTTTGACAGTATTCTAAATTAATCTTTAATATTTAATTAAATATTTTAGATAATTTTATTTTTGCAACTTCGGATATTACTTATTCTACTTATATAATATTGACTGTAACAAATGCATTATATGTCTTCATATGGTAAATGGAATTTGGTATATCCATTGTTGACATAACAATGTCCACACGACTTTCATTGAATCTATAACACCACTGCCAGAAAGCATGTTGTAAGATTATTGTTAATTAGAATATTTTAACGAACTCATCTATGTATAATATGAGGTATTTAACTTGTTTATTTAATAATTACTGTGACGGAGAATTACGAAACTGGCATTGGTACGTATACACCTTTATCCCATTCCAAATTATCTATAAATTTGATCTGTTCCAAGTTTATACTTTCATAGTAATTAATTTCACTAATGCGGGAATTTTTTATTTATATATAGATATATATGAAAGATTATGCAATTAAAGTGCGTAATATAACGCGTAATATAAAGTAAAATAAGTAACACATGGTTTTACATAATTTAGGTAATATCTGAATCTGTAACAAAAAATTTAGTTAACTTCGGTTGCTCATAATTTTTATTACGTTGAAACACATCAAATGTAACTTTTACGTACTTCTTCATTGCCCATAGTTTAACGATAATAGAATATATAGATTCAGTATGATGTTAATCGAAAATATTTGACCAATTTATTAAATATTAATTTCCTTAAGTAGTACAATGACAATTATTGGAACAATGTTATGGAACACTACCTTTTCTTTCTTTATTACTGGTATTACAGTAGAGCATAAAAGCTGCTAAGCTTGCTCATGTTGGTAACTACCCAATCACTTATAACTGTGATTTATAATTCTTTTTATATTTATTTTTACATATTTTACGTTACCAGGTAAGAAATAGTATTGCTGAATTGAATCACACAAAATTTATTGTGACTATAAGGACCATAAATAACATGATTATTTCATAAGTGCATGGAATTATAAAATGCTATACAACCAATTCTTTTTAAATTCATGTAAAATATTTGTATGCTAGCTAGATTGAAATATAAAAAGTAATTTATCATTGAAGTTAACATTCTTCATCATAAACATGAAAGTAAATAAAACTTTTACAAACATTTATACATACAATTACATTATCCAGATGAAAAACTAAAAAGGTATATAATAATGCAATGTTTAAAAGAATTTGTAACATGAAAAAAAATGAAATTGTAGTTGTCACTACATGAATTGTTCTTTATAAATGTCACCAATTTTATAAATTTTATAAAATAAAAGACAATGTTGCGTTGAATAGAAACAATATTTTAACTTTTTATGATTTTAACTTTAAATGTCTAAATCAGTTTTGTCTTAATATATATTTGCTTTTCACAAAAAAATTAATTTCAGTAACAAATTATTTTAATTTATTTTGTACAATTTGAAAATTATTGATTCAAAACATAAAAATGTTTAACTAATTTAACAATTTCTTATATATTTATGATATTGGATCAATACAAATCAAAAGTTTCTACCAATTGTTTTCAATGTGTAAAAAATGTGTTAAAAAAAATTGGATTTGTGTGTGTTGTAAATTATTAGAGCAGAATTACTATGTTGTACAGATTGTAAAACTTTCGAAAAATACTGTTGAAATTAACATTATATTATTACAAGGAAAAAATAAATTACATGTTTTAAGAGAAAAAAATTTTAGTGCAGCCTTCTGAATATGGTCCTTTTTGACGTTTTATTTATATCAAAACAATATACAATGAAAAATAGCACAAGTACTTTTGATTTGCAGTCTTTGTGTAATTCACCATTATCATTTGCATTGTACGCATTTACTTACTTTTTTCCTTCTTTTTAGATATTATATTAGGCTTATCTGCATTCAAAATCATTGAATCCATATTTTCAGTTACATCCATCATTTCTTCCTTTTTTTCTTGTTTTATCCTTATATCATGGGTATTATTTTGTGATGCAACACACTTCCTATCTTGAAATCTTTCACGTACTATTAAAAATAAATATTGAAAAATGTAATATGGAAACAATGATAAATTATACAAAAATATAGAGTTATACATAACCGTACCTTGTGATATTTCCGAAAAATCAAATACTTTAAAATTGTGTGCTTTATTATCACCACCAGCAGCAAATATAAAAGGACTATCTGGATTTGATGCAAGACATAATAAAGCACCAAGACTACTTTTCAATTCCAAAACAAACCACGGCTCTATATTATTGATTATATCCCATACTTTTATGACACCATCACTTGAGGAGGTAACAAGAAAACCAGGACAGGATGAACTAAGAGATAAACCTAAAATTACAATATAATAAATTTAGTTATAATTCATATTTACATAATTTTTGTTTATTTTTAAATTTCTTCTTTAAATTTACCTGTGACTTCTTTTGTGTGAGCCTCTATATTCCAAATTGGTTCTTCTTTTCTAATATCTATGTATTGTAGATATCCAATATCAGTACTGACCTAAAACAAAAGGAACAGATAAAATTTCTATTAATATGTCTGTAATGATGTAAATTTTGTCAGTTATAAAAGTTAATATATTTACTATGCAGTAATTTGAATCAAAATGGTTCCACAATACTCTTTCCACTTCTCCCATTGCTGTCCAAGATTTTGCAATTGTTTCATATCTACAGTCAAATAATCTCACCATCCTAAATAAAAAATTAAATGTGTAAGAATTTAAATATGATTGGAAATTTCTATAACTGATTAAAAATTTATAGACATACTTGTCTGCACAACCTGTCAATAATTGATGTGTTTCCATTGGATGCCATTTTAATGATTGAACTTTTTCATTAAAAGAAGTAAATTTATTGACAGGAGTTCCATTTTCTAAATCCCATAATAGAACTGTTTGGTCAACTGATCCACTAGCCAGAACATGCCTGGAAAAATATTTACAGGGCTGTTTCATTAGTGAACATATAAAATTTTAATTAATCCGTTTCAGTCATAATTTAATACTAACATGTAGTTTTCATTCCATGCTAAATCTAACACAGCATCCCTATGTCCAATTCGTTTTTCATTTTTCTTTTTATTACGTTTTCGACCAAGTGTATAGACTGGTTCTAAACAATCTATTAAATCTAAATCCCATACTTCTATTATAGGTGTCATATTACCAATTGCACATAAATTACCTGCAATAATAGAAATATTTGCATTAAAACTTTCTAGTTGTATCAAAATATCTTATACTTACTTGGCATTGAATCTGAGGGATCAAAGTTAAGCCATTCTATGCACAATGGGAATGATGGTAGCAATATATCATGATGACAATAAAATGAACCCTCAGCTTCATTATATACTGAAAAGTATTTAAATGTATATTTTAAAAGTTATTTATGATTTCTAGTTTCTTTCTAAAAAAATATAATTTCTGTGTAATATACAAACCAAATACTTCCAAGATACTAGCATCTTCTTCAACATTTCCTACTAATACAAAATTGTCATCACTTTTAATAATATCATCTTCTTTCTCTGAATCATTGTCCTCCTCTGTTATAAGAGGATCTTTTCCACCTTTGCCAAAACTTGCAATATTACCAATATTGCAATGTACATTACCCGCTATATGTTAAAATAAAAATTACAAAAAGAATTACATCATTATTGCTAATATGATATATAATATTCTTTATCCTACATTCATCATCATATTTATCAAAATTATATTCATCTGTTTCGGATATATCAAGTTGAGATTCTGTTTGATTCTTTTTTGTCACAACTTCATCATTTTCATCATTTTCCTCATTTGAATCATTTTCAGCATCTCTGAAAAGATATAAGTATTTCTACAATTGTTACTTTTTAGTTAAACTACCACATATTACCATAATACCTACTGTAATTCAGATTGTGTATGTTTTATGATTTGCTGTAATTCTTCTGGAGTTAATTGAACCTAAAAAATTAAAGCAGTAATATTCAACACCTGAAATTTAATTAAAAATTTAGCGATTTATTTGAAGTAATTAACCTTCTCTGGGTTTGTCGATGCAACACCTTTTCTCACCCAAGTTGTACACGGTATTACACTCATTTCTAATTACTCGTTATTTACACTAACGTTTACACTGAAAATATTAACAATTGTTTACGAAAATTTAAGTACTAAAAGTAATACAAAAATGCACGTGGCCAATACTTATCTATCACTACGTATAGTAAATATACAATTTCGATTCGATGTATCGATTTTATAATGCACTATGTGACGTATTTAATATAATAACGAACTTAATAATTTTTGGTCAAATATGTAATTAACTTATTTACAGCATATATTAATGTAATAGATTATATAGAATAACTAATATATTACATCTAAAATTAAAACATTTTATTCATTTGAAGCAAGGGTTTTGTGTATTCCTAAACTCATCTGAAAATTAGACAAAGAGTGTCTCTGAAGTGACCAACTGTGCATTTCGACAAAAGAAAAACATTCACACAATAATCAGCTGTGTAATTGTTATTAATAAATAACAGTTGTTTATATTGTTACATCTTGCTTTTCATACTGTACTGCACCGGTGAGTAAATTTATACTGTTTTGAATTGTGGTTGTTTAATAACGATTTGAGTTGATACAAATTCGTCGTAGTATAACAGTTTCATAACCTTACAATGCGAATTCTTTATTCTAGCATAGATTGTAATAAACGACGAATAAATGATGATTTATGTGTAAATTTCAGTTTTATAAAATGAATAGTTCATCGGATCCTAGGCGACCAGAACGAGAAATTCGTTATAAACCCACTGTGTCAAGCAGTCAGGCACAACCAGGCGATAATTCAACTCCCGACTATATGAACATATTAGGAATGATCTTTAGCATGTGCGGTTTAATGATGAGATTAAAATGGTGTGCATGGGTAGCCTTATATTGCTCATGTATTAGTTTTGCTAATTCTAAAGTGAGTGATGATACTAAACAAATTCTTAGTAGTTTCATGTTGTCCATATCAGCTGTTGTAATGTCATATTTACAAAATCCACAACCCATGACTCCACCGTGGGCATCAGCAATACAATAAAGAGTTTTTTCAATTTCTGTGATGTTCCTTGTGTATTAATTATTTAATGCACTTTTTTTCAACATGTATAGGTATTCTATCAAACTAATGGAGCTAGGTTTCATTAGCAGAAATTAAAACTGTATTGAGTTTGTTACAATTAAATATTCTGTGGGTTGAAATATTAAAGTTAAAGAAAAATTGAATTCAGGTTTTTATTTTTTGAAAAGTA